AAACAACTCAGAGTAACATGTCAGTTTCATGAGTAATTGTAGTAAACAACTCAGAGTAACATGTCAGTTTCCTGAGTAATTGTAGTAAACAACTCAGAGTAACATGTCAGTTTCCTGAGTAATTGTAGTAAACAACTCAGAGTAACATGTCAGTTTCCTGAGTAATTGTAGTAAACAACTCAGAGTAACATGTCAGTTTCCTGAGTAATTGTAGTAAACAACTCAGAGAAATCCCTTTATATATTGAGTTTATTAGATTAAGGTACTTATCTCTAATTATTTATTTTCATTAATCTCTAAAAAAAACCTCCATTGTTTTCTGTGATAATTGAAAACATTAGTAATTAATGAGGATCCATTAATTACATTAATTAATCATTAATTTTGATCCATTTATTTTATTAAAATTTAATTCACAATTTTTACAGTAAAATACAGAGTTCATTGTAAAAAAAATAGATTAGAAAATCATAGTAACCACCCATGTGAGGAATTTTAACTTGAACTACATGAAATACAAATCTGGCTACAACTTCTTTAACTTACGACTACAACTTGAACTACTTTAACTTACGACTACAACTTGAACTACTTTAACTTACGACTACAACTTCTTTAACTTACGACTACAACTTGAACTACTTTAACTTACGACTACAACTTGAACTACTTTAACTTACGACTACAACTTGAACTACTTTAACTTACGACTAAAACTTATTTCTGTTTAATTCTAACAGTTTATTTCTTTGGTTAAAGTTAAAAAGTTATACCACTGTGGATTTTTTATGAAATTAATAATATCCTTCAGGTAAAGTATTCTGCTTCTGATAAATTTCAAATCAAGTCTTTCAGCTAAATCCCATGGCCATACACAAATTTTATACATAGCTTTATAAGTACCTAGTAAAAAATGACCTATCAGTTGTGAAACCTTGTACTCGCATTGTTGGAATGAAATGACCTTCTTAGAAGTTTTATTAAGACTTCAAACTGACAAAATTACTTTTGGTAAGGAAGAAATGGAACACAAATTCTAAGACATTTAAAAATGACCAAAGTAATAATTTTAAATTAATAATCCCACCTCAAGTGTTGATATTAAAACTAAATTACTAATATTTTGTAAATTTAAAACAATAAAATACTTTCAAACAGCTTTTACTGTAAGGAAATAAACTGATATACCTCTGTATCTATTAGATCCTCCAGAGGGCCTAAATCCAGAGGTAACTGCCAGATTTCTCCAGAGAAGTCTTCACATTCAGCATCCATAAAGTTATAGAATGATGGAGTTTCAGATTCAATATTTAAAAAAAATATCTTCGCTGTGTTGTACATTGTTTGATCCATAAGTTTGAAAAAAGTAGGTTTGGATTCATGAGCTGAAGATTCACATCACCTTCGTATCCAGTGGACATGACCGGGTCACAGGCCATATTATCTAATATCCAGTGGACAGGACTGGGTCACAGTCAACATCTTCAACTCTCCAGTCCTGTTGATAATTTAGTGCAGCATCGTTCAAATTCTCTGGTGGATGATCTGTACAAGTTTCAACATCCTTAACTCTCCAGTCCTGTTGATAATTTAGTGCAGCATCGTTCAAATTCTCTGGTGGATGATCTGTACAAGTGGACTGTGGATCATTATCAAGACATGCTTCTTTCTTTAGCCCATCAGAATTTTTTATAGCAGACTCTTCCAAATGTTCCGTGGAAATAGTGTTGTCACAACCTGTGTCAATCACAATCTCAGGAGATTCTAATTTAATTGGAAAAATTCCATCTTCACATGCTAAATATAACTCTACGGGCTGGAAGATGGGTAGTGGATTAACG